CTACTGTATTGATGCGGTCATACGATATCTTGAATAATGCTGCTGGGGTTTGCACCAGACTTTATGCGGTAATGGTTGAATATTCAGACAGAACCAGGGAGGAAGGGCGACAAGCAATCCAAGTACGTTTATATGGCCCCAGGTGGACATGGGAGCTTGCACTTCAATGGTGTGGCAACTCCTGATCTGCAGCAAGCTGGACACGTTGGTGGGCAATTGTAGGTCATCAATGGTTTAAGCGCGTGATGTTGCGCGCGTGACGATCCATGCGGACGGGTGATTGGCAAGTTAATTGGTGGCTAAGATGTGCTTAGTAGCCGCGTGAGCTTGTCAGAGCATGAGGGGTCTTTGAGCAGCTATCATCGTTTGTTATTAAGATTACTCACTGTCGTCCATTCCGTGTGTTTTAGTGTTTTAGAGAAAAAACAAGGTACTAGAATGCGACCATGACAAATATTAGAGTGCAGATCGTGGAGATATATATCTGATAATACATACAGAGCAGAAGACGGTGCATAGGTGATTCCAAAATTTAGACGGGTTAATAGAAGTTGGAGGATGGAGATAAAGAAACATTCAAGATGCTTGTTCGTGTTTGATGTTTATTACGTTAGGTGATCGCGCTGCGGCAAAGTCGCCTTTCAGGAAAGGGACCACGTAAGTTGCCGAACGAAAATGTTACCATGGCGTAGCACCGCCTTCGCTTAATTCGTACCAGTGGCCTACCAACACCAATATGGACTTCCTGAATCCGAAGCATTCTTTCCTTTTCCCAAGATTTTCCCACTCTATAGCGTATGCTGTTACAAAGTTATTTAAAACGGCTTTGCTTGATGTGGAAGCATGAAGCCGGGATAAATTGTAGTGTGGTTCTATACAAACAGCAGGAAACATCAGAAAATCAGCGAAATCCCACATTTATAACAAAACGGAGAAGTTTTACGGGGACTGGCTCCCTATGAATACGCCTATACGCTACGGATTGCGCAGATAGACGGTATTCAGAGGAAGGCCTCCGAGTCATAATGGATCAAGCATCAATAGTGGTGGTCAAACGGGCTAGGTTGTGGGAATACCCTCCGCTTGGAGAGGTGTTGGTTGTTTTCAGTGGGTAGCCTGTCACCCAGATAGTGAAAGCCGAAAATTCTGCTAGGATCCAATGACAGAGGCACTTGTTTTTTTGAAACGGCAACTTTTACATCTGCGCCGGATGAGGTTTTACGCTAGGAGTTAATCTAACCTGGAATTCAACACGGCTGAAAAGCATTATTATATACGAACTTCTGAGACCAGGATCTTTGACATCAAAGAAACGGGCGAGAAGCAAGCCACTAGGCTTGAATGCATCCGCAGAGGGTAAGCGGCAGCATTGTTTTATTTAGCATTTATCGGGGAACAAGTGAGTACAGACATCATACAAACTGGCGAAGGCTACAAATAAGCATGGATCTAACGAATTTAGTGTTTAAAGTAGGTAGGAGGACTTCATGTGCGATTTTCATATCATCTGTAGAATGAAAGCTCATGTTATTGGAGGCGACGTCCAAAAATCCAAGACCTGATGGCAAGGCTGCGAGGGGGTACAAGTATACAGGATAATTAAAAGATCTGGCATCACTGGCTACCGCGGTGATATGGAAGAAAATGAAATTGGTGACAGCCGATGGATTTCTAAATCAGGAGTTCGCACGGCTGACCATCTGGGGAATGCACGTCTAGGGGGAACCTGCTTAACGAGACTTCACCGATACACTCAAGGCTCAAACTGAGAACCAGCATGCTAGATTCTTTCTCAGTGTGAGGTGGCTCCCCAGGAAGCAGGCTTAAGTCCACAGAAGCTTATAGACTGTCTTGATTGAGAGCGGGCAACTCCAGAGATAAGGAAGTGAAATATGTTCTACACAACAGCTGAATATCCATTCTACTTCCCAAGGTATTCAGTAGGCCATCGCCCCAGGCATGGTGGATCCTTCAAGAGTTGACGAAAGGAGGAAGATTTCTGTTTAGAAGCAGAAGTCACCGCCGAGAAAGGGATGTTAATGCTAACCGGAATCTACTGGAACACATGTGGTAGCTTCCGTGGACTGAAATGTAGATGTAGAGGAACTGAAGGTGACCGGTAGCTTGCAAATTACTAATTCATACGTTCGGATGCTGCGACAAGACCGGCGCTTTTTCAGCCGCCAGTAGTGATCGGGCATTTAGCATTTAGATTCGCAATGCTCACAGAATAGGCAGCGGAAGCGCCGACAAGAGTATTCTGTTCAAGAATTTTGAGCGGTATGCGCCAGATTGGTCTGCAGCTCACCATAGAGCAGCGGTGACGGGAAAATCGTGATATTTTTAACAGTCTACCGTCCCAGCTTATTTCTGTTTTGAACCAGTTGAAAGACTTTACTGGAGAAATGTTCGCAATGGAATTGTTTCCTGCAAGGATGTATCTGAAGGTGCTGGAGATGCGCAGCGCATCTGTGGAGACAAAGAAGTTTCGTCACTTCCACCAGCAGGA